AAGGTTAGCGTTCTGTAATTTTACAGCTTTGAGAGCGGCGCACATCGGTCAGGCGAGCGTGGTGGTTGCAAGTTCAAATGAGCGGTCGGCGTGGTCGCGCGGTCCGTGTGATGGGTAATCAAGCCGCACTGGCTGACAAGGTCACAAGGAATGGCGAGTGACTGCAACCTGAACAGAGCGCTTAACACAGATTCTTTCACAGCTGTGTTGAGAAACACTGGATCGGAGTAAGCTTAGGCTTTTCGGCCTGCCTCGAGAATTCTGTATCGAATGGTGTCACACAGAATGGCAATCGGCTCAATACTATTGAATTAAACGCTTGCGCTTAATCACAGATGCCAGTGAAAAACGCTTATTGATGGCACAGCCTCTAATCGTAGAAGATATTTCCACGTATGATGGATCACTGTGTAGAGCTGGTAAATCCAGTTCGAATGAGTGTACAGTGACAACGCTGCGAGAAGATGGAAAGAGGATAGAGGGAAATAATCCAAATGAACCAGTAGCACGCACGTCACGCGTATGAGATCTATGTTACTGAGTGGTAATCATTCGACCGGTTGGGTTCATAGAGCCGTTGGCATTCCGAGTGTAAGGTAATTTATTCAGTTGGAGTGGGATCAATGTAACAACCATGCTGAAGCCTTCATCGTGTCCTGCACGGCTTGTATTAACTACAAAACATCATAGTGCACGCAAAAATTGTATTCATTGACCTTCGCAATAAAAGTTGAGTTTCTTATTTGCATCTGATTTATTGTTGTCAATATGAGATTTCCACCGACAAACGCTCTAGCTCTTTGCCATGTATATATTTCGTTTTGCGATTATCATTCTGATCAACCCACAGGATTCACTGAGTACTACCTCGTTGTTGTAGTATCAAAAATTAGGTAATTTATCACTGGCGTACAAGCACTTGCAATCGGATGCTAGTAGTTCATTTTACTCAATATATTTCAGCTACATCGTTGGTATTTCCTTTATCTGTACTCGCTTAACTCTGCGCTTGAAACAATATTAGCTATGTATATTTTGGGAGGCAGGTCAAGAAAATCAAGGGCGTACTGACTAACTATCTTTGTTTGAAGATCCTCATGCATTAAGTTTCCTTTCACAACTTACACAATAACTCTTGTCGCTGTGTAAGACTTCGCAGCAAATGAAATCAATTCGTCCTGAATCAAAAAGGAGCGCGTAGCTCTTTCAGCCATTCAAGGTAAACAATTCCTCAGTTTTGCTCAAATGTCACTAGATTTCGCACTCTGTGGCAAACAAGCAAGTACCACATAGGGGTTCGGACTTTCGGGTAAACCTAGTAGCAAATGCAATCTTTGAGTGCTTACATGTCCGTTTGCCCTGAACGAAGCTGTACCATTGCGGATTTTGTCAGCGCGACTTCATTGTCGTTTGTCGGAAGGCAACCGTGTGTTCATTATAGCCTTTGCATTCTGATGAAGTGGCGGTTTAGAAAACTTGCTAAGTATGCGCTGAACATCGGTTTCATTGCAGAATAGCTTTGTGAAGGTCAAAATTTTGACAAGGATTTTAATAAGTGGGTGAATTTATGCCAATCGATAAAAGGATTGCACCAAATGAGTTTTGGATGGTTTGTCAGTGAACAATAGAGTGTCAAGTCTCGATTCGAATGCAATCTGTTTCTGGCCTTGCCCGCACCTGCGGTATGCAGTTTGGCGGTAAGGTTCTCAGTGGCTACTGATCTGCGCACATAGTTTTCTGATTCGTTTTTCGGTTATATCGATGCTTTGGACTGAACTACGAGTTTTATTACCCTTAGATCATTGCCTTGATTGGCGACGTGGGGAGCCTTAAAATTATCTGAGGTATGGCATCATCATCGGAAAGGGCTTCTGTGTTTTACCGCCATTTTTCCAGATCATGAATGTGGCCTCCCTGGTCGCAAACTGCCGGTCGTTCAGGCAAACTATGTACAAAAATAATTCCTATGTTACTGCCAGTATGGTGATCGTTTGTATCGAACTTTCAGATAAATACGGATCCCACCGTCTTAACTCCAAAAGCTGTCCGCCGACAAAAGCACGGCCTGGATATCCTCTATACCTCTCAGCGCTAGCCATATAAGTAGGGACACCATAATGCACAGAGTTAGGACATCAAATGACGCACATATTAGCCGGCTTGACGCAAACACCGATCCGAGCGCAATCACTATTCGACTGGCTTAGATCGTCCTGCTAATTACCCACAAAGAAGTTTGCCTTAGACTCAAGAGCACTGGTGTATAGTCAGGTACCTGCTTTTAACCCGTGATAAATCAGTATTCATTGTTCACTGAGCGTCAATGCATCATACTACTGCCTGGCCTTCGGTGATCTGGAGAGTGGCGTCAGCGAGTGTCTTTGGCGACCTTGCTGCAGTTTGCGCTTGGCCCTTGTCACATATTTCGAACACATTGGCTAAAGCTACTGGACGGGCACTTTGAATATATCGCGTAACATCTGTTAAGTACGTGGTTCAACCATTAGAAAGGTCAGGTTTTTCTCTGTCAATCGAAAATTGGAACATTAGCACGGTTGCATTAGTCGGTGTATTGGACAAGAGAGCATGGGGTGCTGGAGCCTTGCTTGCTTCATCGTTCTCGATAAGCAGTCGGTTCTGGGAGTTTAAGGTTTTCTCTACTGTTAACGCTCGGTAAGACCTTGACATTTTCCTTGGATTCGAGATAGTGATTTAAGGGGATAGATAGAGTAAAAACCCTGGTAGTATCGCCACTCGCGAGATAATGTTCTCATGTAAACGAATTACAGCTTCAAGGACCAAACTGTTGTTATTTGTGCAAATGGTTGGCGGCATCCGGTTTCGGATTTGCCTGTCACTGTGGCAAGCCACAGGAGGCCTGCGCCTACAGTGGGACCATGGATGGCTTGCGCTGCACCACCCACAGCTCCAACCACATACCCCATATCCAGTGTAAACCCGAAGGAATAAGACCGGGAGGCATGCGGATGGGAACCACGTTTCATCAACGGAGCCGGCCCACACTCCTTCACAGGCAAACACAAGCACGCTGTATTTGGGGAATCAAGCGCACACAAGGCGGTGGCTGGACCGTAGTCCGCTCCACACTGACTGCATGGAACCGCTCTTTGAGCCTAGCACGGCCACAAGAACCGTGCACCCCGTCCCCTCCAGCAACGACCAACTGTCTCCTGGAGCCAGTATGAACGATGTAGTGGGTAATAGACAGGTAGGCACCTTGTCAACACACACATCAAGCGCAACCACACCGGGGATATCAAACAACAGCCATTCACTTTAAACGACAAGTTGAAAGAAAATAAGTACAATAATGCATACAGATACGGTGGCATAACTCTTCGCTAATTTACCATATGAAGTAAGTGCGTTAACAACAAATCCGTGATAAGTAGGAAATGTCCACAAGTTACTTAAAAATGCTACAAAACGCAACAAAATTACCGAAGATAAGCGCACTTAGTGTAAGCAACGTGGCCAGTTAATAGAACATTATTCAGGGAGGCAGAACAAAGCAAATAAAGCGGAATGAAATTTATCCAGCTTAAAAAGACCTAGTTTAAGTGTAAGTTGGTTTAGCCCAACTGCGGTGAAGAAGCATCAAGAATGCAACATCAGCCTCAGCATGGGGCACACATACATACATGGTTGGCGGCATCCGGTTTCGGATTTGCCTGTCACTGTGGCAAGCCACAGGACGC